GCCCTTTCACAGGGGTCGCCTAAGACCATCGGAAAACACATAGATAATTACATACTGTTTTTGTGATTAATCTCTATGCTTTAATTATATTCAATTTGTAACAATGAAAATATATCCTGCATATCAGATATTTACATTACGATTCATAACAGTAGCAAAATTACAGTTATGAAGTAGCAACGAAAATAACTTTATGGTTGAGGAACTGTATTAAAGGGTCGCGGCACTAGGAAGGTTGAGAACCACTGCTTATAAAGCTTAGCATTTGGCAATGTGAAAAACACTGTTTTGATATAACGCAAAGAAGCTCCTCAATATAAGAACTTGGCAAAGTTAGGGTCAAAACCTGTGATCCAAATTCCACTTCACATCCCTAAATTTAAAACATATACACCTCCATCTCATAGTCAGCACCAAAATTTACCCATAATTTTACATTTTATCTTTTTTTACTTTCGGATTACAGGAGATCTGAATCAGCTACAATACATGATATGAACCAGAATACAGTTTGGAATCCCACTCAGTTTAATGGACAGTTCTCATGCCAAAGAATATTTCAGTCCGTCTTATCTAAAGGTTTTATTTTCATCATAAATCTCAAATTAAAGAATCCCTTTGGATATTATTACAGATATGTATCTAGACTAGGTAGATCATAACCAATATAAGTATGATTCAGTACCAAGAGTTTACAAATAGTACTTCTTACAGAAGTGTGCCCTTTACATACAGTATTGGCATATGTGAGTAATTACTATAATACCAATTAAAATTAAAACCAAGTTGCTGACACATAAAAAATTGTCAAAGCATATGACATTTTTTGTTTCCTTTCCTAAAGGAATCCTTTATGCACTGTAAGATGATAATTGTTTTTTAAACTGCCGATATTTTTATATTATCCATAGTAAACAAGTAGCAATGGTTCCAAAGACTCTTGACATCTACATTCCCTCCTCAGTGAAAGCCATTTCCTTGCAAAGATGTAAGTAGCTGCTATGAAGACTTTCCAAGATCAAGCCTGGGAAAGGGTTTAGCAAAGAACTTCTGGCCAAGTGGAGTTCATTGTAAGCATACTCACCACATCTTTGCTTATATGTCAGCAATATATATTTATATCTATCTATCTATATCTATATAGATAGATATCTATCTATATAGATATAGATAGATAGATATATCTATATATCTCCAATCAGGTACTATGTTAATCTTATTAATATTTCAAGTATTTTTAGATTTCAGTTTGCAATTTGCAGAAACTTGAAATTTGCAAGAGTTCTAAAAAGACAAAAGATGGTTATGTCTGGCATTAATTATGATTCCGATATTTTTTCACTTGATTATTGAAAACATAGATTTTCCCTTTTGACTGACATTAACCAAACTTTTTTTTCTTACAAAGAATAAAAGTGTCAATTTAGACTAAACTATTTTTATGCAGTATCAAGATTTTTATTTTTCATTCAGGGTGGTGATAAAAAAAAATGATGGAATGAAAGAATGTCTCTACTTCTTAGAAGTAATACCCAGTCAAGTAATCTTCAATATTAACAAATACTAAAGCCAGGACAAAGAAGTGTCAAATGATGTGATTCTAAACTTTTTTCAGGTAAGTTGGTTCAAATTCAAATGAATAATTTTTATAGACCATGCATTTATTCTGGTATGTTGAGCAGACTAATACATAAGGTAACTAAAAAGACATGTTGAATGACTGATTTAATAAATGAATGAATAAAACATGATAAAAAAAACCTTTCCACTAAATTAATTTTTCACGAGAAATCATATTTAATGATTGTTCTTGGCATCTGCCAGTCTGTACTCACTCTGAAGTGAAGAAAAGGATATCACTAACTGTAAGGAAGGGACCTGATATACCCAGCTAGTTTACTGTCCCTCTCCCATTTGCGGGCAACCAGGCACACACAGGAAACACAGATTCTGGTGCATTAGTCCATCTAGACAATTTATAGTGCCATCACCCTACATGTATCCTTCTGAGCTTGAAACTGTTTATTTCTGGGATAAGATGTTAGGCAGCCTATTGTAGCTGTGTGTGTGCTACATTTTCCAATCGCTTTATTAACGTTTTTATTTGCATCTACCCAAATTCTTGTTAGCTCCCAGTTTGGTTAAAACTCACATATGGAAAAAACATGTTATTTATTGACCCTATCAATCCATGTAGATAATGTTACCATTGCTTCAAAAGAGAATGGATCATCAATTATTCAAATTACCAATGGAAGTTGTGTTGAATTTATAAAAATAGATGTGAACAGAAAAGTGCCTAATCCATGTTACCATCTGAATATATGTTACATGTTTTGAACTATTCCATGAGAATTTTCTGTCTAATTAGCATTTTCTTTATTTAGAGACGAATTTGTAGAAAATTATTTGTCCTTTATACTTATTCTCAGAAAAACTGAGAGGCTATAAACTCAAGTAAGTACAAACTTAGCCCAACTAAGCCCATAATAGATGCTCAATAAATAATACTATACTACATGAAAATTTCTTACTGAACAGGCCTTCTTGTTCTACACCATAAACAAGACTTCTCAGCATGCTTGTATAATACATATATGTATCTGTATGACACACATTTGCTTTTCATTATATACTAAATATTACATTTCTATAAATAATGCTAAAGGAATATAACATAATGGTTTAATATTTATTATACCTATTCTTGACTAAAATGTATTCTTGAAAAATAAATCCTGTACAAATACATTTTATCTTTATTACCTAGTGTCTCCAACTATGTTTTACTGTTACAATATTTTTATAGATCTGATGATCTACATGCCCTACATTAATTAATTTCATTTCTTGCTTGGGATTCTTTTCATGTTGGTTCTAAAAATTAAGTTAATAAAAATTAAACCTTTAATAGCTTTCTTAACCCAAGTATTCAAACTGAAAGCATATAAGCAAACCAGTATTATAATTCTATCCAAACATTTAAACAACAAAATCAATTTAAAAAAAAAGAAAGAAAGAAAGAAAATCCTCTTTAACATGAATTATCTTAAGTTCCCTGAAGTCAAATTCAGTAGATAGTTTAAAAATGAAAATAATAAAGTTTTAAAATGCAAAAGGTGCTAGAGAGTAATCATTTAAAACCTAATGAAAACACAGAATCCACATGAGAATTACAACAGACCTTTCAGTGTGCTGCACAAACACGTGACATATTATTAAGCAAATATAATTAAGGACAAGGGAACTGGACTTTTTTTTTTTTTTTTGGTAACTTTAGCTGCACATATGGAGCATTTTGTTTCACTTCTGGTTTACTTTCTTTTAATCAAAGACCCCCACTGTAATGCCTTCACACAGGGCTCAGTGTTGTGGATACCATGGAAACCATAATTCTGAATGTCCTAACTTGTGTGATTAAAATTTAGCACAAAGTAACATTGATAGTCTCCCTCATTTCCACTACCACCAATATCCAATTCTAATTAGCAGCACAATAGCGGGTTTGGAAGGAAGAAAGAGCTGTGACTACTGTAACCTCACACTGCCAGTTATTCACAGGGAATCCCGTGGACAGTATATAGTGATGGTTCTCTTTTGCAGAGTGCCGGATTTAACCGGAGGGATTATTTCTAGCTGACTTTCTAGTCTCCTCTACAAAATAAAGTTTATTGGTTTTTCTCCTTTTTACATACTATAGATTATTTGTATTCTATATTTCATTTGCCTGTTCGACTGGAGCAAAAACTTTTATAATAGACTAATATGCAGAGGAAATAAATGAAACTATATGATATCTTTGTTTCTCAAATCCACTTGTAGTAAATATTTCATTCCTATAATGATAACATTTCTCTCTTCAACATGGAATTAACGCTTCTAGATGCATCATTAAGATATAACGTATGCAAAACCTTTTTACTTACCCGAGGTTTCAAAATTCAACTGGATCTTTTTTCTTTTCTTCTTCTTTTTTTTAAATGAACATTCTAATAGGAGCTGATAAGCTCCTGGTACTCCATTAAGGAAATATATGCTCTCTTGCTGCTTATTTTAAGTTGCAGAAAATTATATTGTCTCAGGGGCACACTTGTGCTGATCATGGGCCCTGCTACTCACTGCCTCTACCTATATGTAAGTCAAATTCATTGCATTAGTCAAAACAACATTTTAAATTTGGAAATTATACTCTGTCATTTTGATTGAGCTTCTTGTCTACCTTATTATATATAAGAGCAAACATGAATGACATTCCTCCCCACTCCGAAAATCCCAAAGGAAATTAAGTTTATAGAGCAAGAGGGAATATTTTAATGTTAAACACTCAGAGTCAGGAAGACACCTTCGTCATTAAGCCAATGCCCTCAAATTGTAGGGGAGAAGTGAAGCCCATAGAGCT